TGAAAAGCCACACCTCTCTTTTTTTCCCGTGTACTTCATAAAAGGTGGAGGATTTTGAATGCCTCACAATCCTGGTGACGCAGCCTTCCATCACACCATGAGCGCTCACGCTGCAGTGCCAGCCAAGGAGGGTGAAAGTCGTGCGTGTGTGTACCTGTGTGTACCAAACACAACACGTCTTCCTTGAAAGGCAATAGAGGACATAACAGAAGCTGACGGTGAAGGAGACAAAAGAGCAAGCAGCAGCTCAGGCATCTGGCAGAGGAACAACCACACCGCCATTGACTCAGAAGAACTTCAAACACGCTCGGTTTGGGTGTTCTCAGGACACGCAGGGGCTCCAAGTCACAGCTTTAAAAACACCGGATGGAGTCACACACAGCTGCAAGGGCCCTCTCCAGCCTGGTGGTGAAGAAAACTGCAGACATGAAGCCAAGAAAAGCTCAATCTGTGTGCTCGATCCAGACACCCTGCAGCAACCCAGCCTTGACTCTGGCAACTGTAGGAGCGATAATGTGGTGTGTCTGCACGTGCCCCTGCATGCTCGGTGGCTGCAGGACAGAGACAGCGCAGCGTGAGACGTCTCTGTTTAAAGCTGACCTACAAAGACAGGCAGGTCTACAAGGCAGTAGGTGGAAGACTGTGACTGACGTATATATTCTTTTTCCACAGATATTCCTTCTGAATTATAGAAGGCTGGAGAGCTGGAGTGGAGGTACCAAGGATGTAAGTCAGCCCCGAGGGCAGATGTGTGAATCCATGATTTGTTAGGAAGCTGGCAGGACACAGCCCTGATACCCACCTTGGGAGCGGCAGTATGATGGGATCTATAGGGGAACACAAGGGAGCATTTTATGTCTGGAATCACATGCCGCATCAAGATAGCTGTGGTTGGGTATTAATTCCTTTGACACCATCAAAAATGGACACTTTCAGGGTCATTATCTCCATAAATGAAATGAGGGGATGCTTTTACCCTACGTCTCAGTGTTGTGCAGTCTTGGTACTTGCCGTGTTCATAATCCACTGTTACACACTCAGCCCCAGTTCAGATTTGTTAGCAATACACTACCAATAGGCTTTTACCCAGGAAACAAGTATGGTCCTATCACCCTTGTGTCTCAGGACTGGTTTATATCCAATTACCAGAATAGACACAGACCATGAGTTTTAACAACATCTCTGCTTTTCAAGAAAATTGAGCTGATGTCTAAGCACAAGAATTTCCTGTTGCACTGCCTCTTGCAAACAAGTTAATCTAAGAAAAGATACATGACATGTTATGAACCTTCGGAACGAACCACCAGTTCATTTTTCAAAATGACAGATGTGATGAAAATTGGCCAAAGGCTTGGAAAAAAAAACCTGTGGAGGTCAGGGTGAGGGGAGCAGATGGGAGTGGAGAGGAAGACATTCCAGAGCCCTCTGGAGCCTTGGACTCCTCTAGGACCCATTAAAAGCTTATGTTACTTGCACCGTTTATAAACAAGTGCTTTCTTTCGCCATCACAGCCTTTCTCCTATCAAGCGCTGAGGAAGTGGTGACTGCTGCCTTCTCCCGAAGCAAGGCACCAAAAATGATGGCAAGTTACAAATCAAATCCCTTTGATTTATTACCTTTCCCAAGTTTCAGGAGGTCTGTTGTGATTCCTAAGTGACCTTAGTAAACCGACTAATCAATAGCACATCTGAATGCAAAAGCTGTGCTGCCAGAAGGATTACATCAACGCTGGCAGAGGAGAGGCCGTAGAAGGGTGGACGGCAACCCATGCCAATTCTTTGCATTCTTTTGCTTTTATTATTGCCCCTGCAGTCATCAAGGTAGGAAATTTCAAGATGAAAAACACTGCTATTCTCCGTAAGAAAATTTTCCATTCCCTTCACTTGTTAGGTCTATCGCAGAGACTTGCCAGAAGGATTACATCAACGCTGGCAGAGGAGAGGCCGTAGAAGGGTGGACGGCAACCCATGCCAATTCTTTGCATTCTTTTGCTTTTATTATTGCCCCTGCAGTCATCAAGGTAGGAAATTTCAAGATGAAAAACACTGCTATTCTCCGTAAGAAAATTTTCCATTCCCTTCACTTGTTAGGTCTATCGCAGAGACTTCAATTTTTATTGATTTTAGCATTACACCAAATACGGACTTTAGCAACACATTACAGCCATATTTACTATTTGCTAGAAGGATGCTGCACCCAATAATTTTTAGAGTTTCCTCCTGTGTATTGGACACATTAGAATCACGCAAGAAACAAATCAACCTCCAAAGAAGAGTAACGAGACATTTGTAATGAGACACTGAACTTTTCATCCCTGTGTCAGAGACCAGTGTGCCCTGGACAGGTAGCGTAAGACAGTAGTATTCACCCGACCACTGGGTATTTGCAGTGGAGAAGATTAGGGGTCTCATCCTAGCTCCAGGGGGTGAGTGCTGTCCCCTAATAAACTGCAGTGCAGGCTGCCGTCTCACTGGGGGGCTGAACTTTAAGTCCCCCCACGGCATCAAGACAGAGATGCACTAGTACTGCATGGAAATTTGCACAGCTTCATACTGTCTTTGCACTGGGAAGAGAGAGAATGCCAGGGATTCAGCCTCCCCAGGTGTCAAGATGGGTACAATGAATAAAACAAGTGCATATTTTACCTAATAAAGCAGGATTTCTGCATCTGATTCCTATGTACTTCAGGATGCAGAAGAAAGAACAATCAGGATATTGGGACACAGAAAAAAGAAAACCAGAAGCAAGTTGAAATAGTGCAAAGACAAAGCAGAAGTAATATGCAATATGCAAAGATATTTTATCCGAATCAGCTGCAAACAAAGCAGATAGGCTGGAATTTGCATTTTCTTTTGAACTGTAAGCCAGCTTCTCTTGCAAATCACAGGAGCTCCACTGGCAACCAGATTCAAGAAAAGTGTAACAGCATGACAGACAGGAAGTATGTCTCCTTGAAGAAGATTAAATTACGAAGAAACCATACAGAAGATGAAGGGAGCAGGGGCAGTCAGAGGAGCAGATATTGATCGCTTATGCAGGACAATTGAATTCCTTGGCAACTGCCTGCCTCAGCCGAAAGGGATGCACTAGTTGTTGTCGGGCAGCTGCAACTGCAACACGCACACCCGTGGGCTGCTCATGGATCAATCCTGTTCCAATCAAAAATTGATGGATGGCTACTTTTATTGATCAGAGTGGGAAGACTCAGGAAACAGCATCGAGACACACAGAATGTTGACACGTCCTGGATGTAGAAGTAAACATTGTAGCTGTCAGCTAGGCAGGTTACATCAAGAAACAAGACACCCCAAGGAAGAAAACCAGGAAGAGCAGTGCAACCCATTCCTGGAAGCAGCCAGCCTGCACCCTGTTGCAAGGACAGGTTTCCAAAGAGCTCCCCTGGGTGCTGCCTGCGAGCTGCGCAGGGCTGTTAGCAAAAGGGAACGACTGCTGCCCCGCAAAGCCACTTGATGTGAGCTAGGTGCTGCCACACACCTAAAGACATCCGACAGGGGACTGGTCCTAACACCACTTACCCAGTTCCTTCTTAAAATCAGTGCTGGGATAGGTTCCCACACAGCCTTTTGTGTGAACAGTCACATCAGTGGCTTACAAAGAGTACCAAAGCTCCCTCTTCTCAATTAACGGACTCTCCCTTGCTCAGGAGTAGCAGATGCTGTCGAGCAACAAATAGCTAATCCTCAAGAAAGCAGAGCTACTAATCAGTCACTTTTACATTTAAGATCACTTGGACTTGCCACTGCCTTATAGTGTTTTTCTAATTAATTGCACTGGAATGCACTTAGGCAAGCCCCGGATCAAAGAATCAACCGCAGAGATTGAAATAAATCCTGTCTGTGTTGCTAATGCCTTGGAAATGGATGGCTTGCTAAGCATTCAAAATCCTGGGTACCAGTGTTTTAAAACTACAGATAGTGTGAGATGCTTTCAAAGGAACAGATTTAAGAATAAAAAGGAAAAAACTCCCTTCATTTGCTCGTAAAAGACAATTAAACAAAGGCAATTGTTCAGCTAATTTATTGTGAAGTTTGTGTATCTTCAGTTCCTTATTCTCCACTTTCCTATCAGCAGAAATCACAGTGCAGGAGTGTCAATTTTCATTACAGCAAAACTTTATCATCATTACAGATTTCTTTTTTTTTTAATTTGCTTTTATGAAGGGTTGAAAACTTTTCAAAATAACGATAAATAAAAATGACTGGAGATGGATGTGTTACCAGTTGGTGCGATAAATCACTGTCTCTTCCCGCAAGAGTCTCTCTCTCTCATGGTTTAGAATATCATCAGAATGCCTTTGATTGATTTACAATTTAGTAATCCCGCCATCATCATCCATAATTCCACAATAAACCACGCCACTTAATGTAGCTGTTACAGATGTTCAGAAGTTCATTCCCTGCTTTTTAGGAGGTGATAGTGAGGCAGCAGCTGCAGACACCAGGATTAGCCGGGGAAGAAAAAACTGTCTTCAGCACAGGAGAACATCCCATTTTCCTCTAACAATGCCCTGTCTTAAAAGGTGAAAGACATGCTGCCAACCTTGATATACCCAGGTTCAATTATTAAACACCATGTACCTATAGGGATACATGCACCCAACCGCTTGCCAGTTGGCAGGAGTAACAAGCTGTCGGGCTTCTGTCTACAACTCATTATTTCCTGGGAAATCAAGACATTACTAAAAGCCACATGCAACGAATCCATCAAAGGGTGTGCAGCAAAAAGCAACTGCTCTCACACAGGCCGTGCCGGCATCAAGAAATGCATGTTGCAGTGTGCTCTGCACATGGCACAGCATCCAGAGTCAGACCCAAGGAACTGCTTGGAGTTCGCTCTTAAACCCACAGCGAAGTCGGGCTGCGGCAGGCAGGGAGGGCTGCAGCCCGACGTGGAGGCTGCTATTCATTACGCTGCTGCTGTAACCAATACCAGTCCTTCCTGAAAGCACCACTGGAGACTTCATGGGCATCATTACTCACTTTTTCACAAATTACTGATCTGAAAACAGTAGGTTAATTCTTGGTTTCAACGTCTTTTGCTTGAGCCTGAAAACAACACAGCATGAGCTGGCCTGCAATTAACACTTTGTTAATGCTGTTCCTTAAAGGGAAGGAAAATATGTAAGCTGCACAGTACAGGGTGCAGATATTTGATACCAAACAGCACTAGGACTCTCTGCCAACCTCAGCAGCTACAGTTCATTTAAAGCTGGCCTACAGAAATATCCAACAGGAACTGTCAAAGTGATGGTCTAGGTCACAGAAACAATTTCTCTCCTAAGTGAATCACCATCCTGAGGAAGCTAACAAAGACTGCAAAATTCATTAGCTGAGCAGTGCTGGAAAGGTCGGCTCCAAATCCATCACTGATCCGTCTAGGCCAGCCAGCATCCTGTCTCTGACAGTGAGTGACCTGTCCCAGGCGCTGCCCAGAGAGGTGCAAGGAACAGCAAGGCTATTTCTAATTACAGAAATCTCTTATTTCCTCTTAGCTGCACTCACAAGGATCACAAATCAGACTTGTGGTTTGGGTCTTCAGGGGGACATTTGAGTCTTCAAAACTTCAACCACCACAGGATTTCTCTGTTGGCTGACCCCTCAGATCAATACATGATGAAGCATAAGAGCTGGCAAATCTGAGTGAATGTTAAGGTCCAATGAAATACTGAGTGGGTATTCCATAGGAACAGCACTCCTGGACTGTGAAGAACGGGTATCACATCCTAACAAACCATGGCTTCCACTGTTCTAAGGGTGACAAACGAGAGCCCTTGCCCTGTGGCTAGCAGGAGCACTGACAACTACCAGAAAAGCAGCAATGTGCTGAATGTGTTTCTGAAAAGCAGCTTTTTGATTAACAAATCCTTGAGATAGTGTTGGTTTTTTTAACACAGGCCAAGGTAACTGCCTCCCCTTCCATTTGATGGACTCTTGAGGTGTCCTAGCCAGCTGAAAGGCAACCAAGCTCCTCTGCAGCTCTGCTGCAGATAAGACTAATTATGTGCTCCAAAGTGTACGTTGCGATTCCCCAAAGCATTGCTTTCAGCTCAGAAAACCCCTTTGCATCTCTCCATAGAAAACGCACAGCAGGACTATGCCTCCTGCTTCTACTGCAGCCTGCGAATACCCCAACATCCCAGCACAAAGGGAAAACAGCTCTCCCCGAGATCCAGCCCGGCAGAGAGGGGCAGCTCTCCTTAGGGCAGTATTTTCCTTCCCTTCTCATGGGATTTACTGTCTCGTACGTATTAAACCCACAAGTGCAATTCCATCTAATTGGGTTGGTGGGGGAGGACGACGGGCATCAGTAGTTGTGAATATTTCCCTTTCCACACCAGGGCTGGAGGCAGCAATGCCAGCGTGTCACCCGACAGCAGCCCACGCTACACTGAAGTCACCATACAACTGGGTACCAGTTGCAGCCCTTGATGGGGTGGCATAACCAAGTACCAGAGTCGGCGCAAGCGCATCCTCCCAAGGCAATTCTCTGCGCACACAACTTTACTTCCAGAGGCCACCAGTATTTACGTCCAATTTAACGGCACATATTCACTGCTTCCACACACACTGCATACGGAGTGCCCCCCGGCCTGCAGGTGATGATACATCCGTAACCATGGAGCACTGGTTTTTGCGGCGTGAGATGGTAATTCTGTATCTATAAACCATTTTGCTTAAGTCTCTGCCTCAGGCTTGACTATGAAACATCATTTCCAAAAAATGTACACGCGAGTTTTCTCCCTCATAGGCTTAGGTTACATGGAAAAGTTTTGCTGGCATAGCTGTACTGTGAGAAGTAAATAATAAAAGAACACTGTCAGCCAAATAGCCATGCCAGTAGAAGTTGCGGGTAGCTATATATACAGTTGTGGGTATAGCTTATTCTGTCCAGGGAAATGGGTTAATTTATGGAGGCAGAGGAACACTTGCCAGTGTGAGTTCTCTTCCAGAAGGGGTTTATCAGCACAGCTCTACTGAAATAATCACATTTTGAATGCAGGCATGTGCTTAGTCTCTCTGTCAAAACAATTATCACAGGGAAAAAGTTTCTTGTGTTTGGTAAATTTTGAAATAAGAATGTGGCAACCTACATCCCCAGAGCATGCTGTGATAAGTCTCAGCCCACCGGGATCTGCTGGGCTGAGGCCATTAGTTCTTTCAGATACACTGGCAAACTGCTGAGCTTGGAGAGGCTTTCACTCACTCCCAACCTGGGATGGATGAGAGCTGGTGATCTTGTTATACGAGGCCCCATATCCCACAGCCCTGAGTCATTCAATCCCCTGACTGTTTCTTCACACAAGAATTTATCTTTTCTTTGAGAATTTTGCAATGGGAGCTGGAGGCTAGCAGGGTCATTGCAATCCGTTTCTTTGAATACTCTGTGGGATCTCAGCTTGGCGTATTTCATTTTTTCATCCCAGAGAGAGGGTGTGTACAAAAGCAAGAGATCTGGAAAGTGTTTGGCATCACAGGAACTGCCAGCACTGCTTCCTCTGTTTGCTCCATTTAGCCTGATGACATTTTTTATTATCAATTAGCTCAAACACAGAAAAGCTACTTCTCTCAGTTGACTGTGGAACACAGGTATTGGGGTTCAAATTCCCCTTGTGAGTCTTTCTGAGAAGCTGGGCTGATGCTTCTTGTGCATCCTGTTATTCCAGTCAGCCTAGAGACAAGTGCCAGAGCTGGCATGAAAGGCATGTGCCCGAGACAGAGAAAACCAAAGGTAAATTCCTCCCATCCCATGTCTGGGCTTGGTGTACCTGTTACAACATGTGTATCCTCCCTATGCCAGGCATACAAAGGCAGAAACAGTTGCAGAGAGGGACAGAAAGGGGATTGCTAATACAGAAAATTAATACTGAAAGAATCAGTACAGTAAAGATTCACAGTGTTCACTCCAGGAAGACAAGGTCTTCCTACTGGAGAATCCCCCGAAGGGAGGAACAGTAGCAATAGATTTGAAAAAGAAGAAGGAGGAAAAAAAAAAAAAGAAATCCAATCACACACTCTATATTTAAAAATGAAAAAGACTACCAGATGCAATTACATTCATGATTAAAAGATCTAACAGAAGCATATTTAAATTCATTAACTTAGTCCACACTTTAGTACCTCAGGAGACCAGCTGCTTCTGGAATACAGGGCAGCAAAATACAAACTACATCTTGCTTGTATTTGATCAAAACCTTTTGGAAGCTTCAATGATCTGGCTGTTAACATCTCTTAGGTGATAATTAGGCTCTTGGGGCAGCAAACATTGTTTGGGAGAGAAAACGCGCTCTGGAAACGTAAGTAGTGGAGCCTTCTGCCTTGCTGAAGAGTCAGTTATTCCACTATATAAAAAAGGCAGGCAAGGGCAAAATGAGGCCATTTTCAAACAGAGACTCATTTTGCCTGCGTATATCAGCAATCAGCAGATGCTCACCTCTGTGTAAACTGTTTACTTTAGGTTTTGCTCATTTCTTGCAACACATGTTTTAACCAAGCGATTTTAGCCCTTGCGCGCTGCGGCTCATGAGCACGACTCTCTGGGAAGCAGACGCTGCACGGTTTTTCCATCGCTGTTTGACAGCTGTTTGGTAGCAGGTACCAGCTGGAGCTGAGCAGGCACTTCCCCTACTTCCCATCCTCCCAAGCAGGATCTCCATCCCATCCTGGCCTCCTGACAAAGCTGGTCTCTCTGCTCCAGGGATGCTCCAGGGCCTCTGCCTGCGGGACGAGGCTTCAGGGCACTTTTGGAGGCACTGGGAAGAGCCAGAACCTCTCCGTGGGATGCAGCCTGTTAGCGGGGCGGATGCACAACAATATTCTCCGTCTGTCCCAGGAGGGCACTAGATTAACAGCAGAGGCACTGACTTCCTTCCTGTTATTGCCATGGGACCTATTTCCCTGTGACTGGACAGAAAGAGACTTAATTAGTGGTAACCGGGAATTTCTGTTTATTGTTGGGTCTGACATGTCTCTGTCTTTCTGAAGTCTCTCTCTGTATGCTGTGCTTGGGCTTGGTCTCCTCCATCCTGCAAGGCAAAGCTCACCTCCTCTGTGCAGAGACCTTCCTTCTCAAGAGATCTTTTGAATAGTGCTGAGAGATGGAGTCTTCCCTGTCCCTCCTGCACAGTCCCCCATAGCCAAGCGCAAGAAACATCAAAGGGCAGAGCTGACCTTTCGGACAGGCAGCTACACATGTATCTGAGCTGTCAGGCAGACGTTTTCAGGATTTTACTCCTGTTAGTTCCGATCCATGGCAGAGGGCTCCGCGTTACAGAAGCATCTGCTCTCCCTCTGTGCCTCTAGGAAGTTGCACCATTCCTCAAGAGCTGTAGTTCAGCTTGAAACTGGTGGATTTAGACTCCAGGTATTTGTGCCACATGAACGTTATTTCTTCGCTGTCTAAAAATCTGACTGAGGTGCCCAGCATCTTCCCACACTGCCAAGGAAGCCCTGATGAGAGAGATGCACAGGAGCAGGAAGTCTCCACCACCTGTGTCTCCTAACCAAGCCAGCCTCGTTCATTCAAATAACGTCACCAGAGACACAGCGACCCCGGCGGTGAACCGTCCCTCAGCTTTATTTCTCCTTGGTTACCGAAGAACTGGAGAGATCTATCTTATTTTGCTTTAAAAGCCATATAGGGCAGCTGACTTCCACTGAGAAAACCTGGAAAGCCAAGAGCAAGTCAGGTATCAAAATCACAGCTTCAAAACGTTCCCTGTTTGAGCGCTAGCCCAGCAACACCTCACAGCTGGGGGTGTGGAGGTCAGAGCTCCGGCAGGAGCTGGAGAAAGACGCTCTACCATCCCTCTGGCCAACAGTGACACAGTGACAGGGTTAGTCAGAAAATATTGTAAACAAAAGCAAGAAATAAATAGAAGAAAAAAATAGGGAAGAGGATGGAAAGTTGCACTGGTCAGAAAACACCTGACACCAAGTTTCAATTCTAAAGCTATTTGCTAGTAACCCAGTTCTAGATACATGACTCTGGACACGTTTCCATGTCATAATCAGAATTAAATGCAGTCTCAGTTCCTCATTCTGATGAACAGTAGCTATATTTTTTCCTGTTATCTACAGGAACATTTACTGTATGTATTATACAGTGCTTCAAATACATAGGAATATTCCCCTTATTGCCATCTGCATGTGACA